GCCGCCCCCGCCGCGGCCGCCGGCGCCCGCGGCCCCGCCGCACTCGACGCCCCTCTGGCAGGCGTCGCAGCTGAGGCGCTTCATCATCTCATAGCTCGTGATTGTGATAGACGGCATGAGCGCGCGGATCGCCGCCGAGTCCCTCGGCGCCGCCGGCGGCGGCGCCGCGCCGCCGCCCTCACTTGCGCAGGCCGCACCCTCCGAGCCGCCTGCGCCGCCCTCAAAGTCAGGCTGCTGCTGCTGCTGCTGCTGCTGCTGCTGCTGCTGCTGCGCTGCGGCGGCGGCCTGCTGCAGGCAGATTCGATCCTCTCTGCCCTCTATGACCCGCACCGCGCCCGGCCGCAGGTGCGGCAGCCACTTCTCGAGCTCCTCCGCCCACACCAGCCGCAGGCTGGCCGGCACGATCGCCAGCAGCGGCCATTCGTCCTGAGGGCAGCCCACAATGTGGTCCGAGGCGCATGGTGCGCGGTGCGAGTGGAGTGGGGCAGGGTGATGGATCGGGGTGCGTTCAAACTGGTGGGGCAGGTCGCTTGACTGGAACGCCTGTTAACACAACGACAGTCCCCTCCCCAGATTGGGCCATACTACCACTAGCTGGCGACAACGGCCATGCCCCATAACCGCTCTGCCACGAAAACCCCTGGCACCGAGCTCGGCATCAACGCCACCGCCGAGCTGGGATGCAGCCCCATGCTGCGCACCTCGTAACAGGATGCGAGCGCGATGGCCTGCAGCGTCTTCCCGACCCCCATCTCGTCCGCAATCAAGCAGCGCCCCCCGCGCTCCAGGCCGAACCGCACGCCCTCCCTCTGGAAGGGTAGGAGCACGGCCGCCAGCGACGCCGGCATCGCCGCCAGCCGCGCGGCGACCTCGGCCGGCGGCGCGCGGGGGCACGCGGCGCCGCGGAACGCGGCGAGGGTGCGGCCGGGGACGGCGCTGCCGCGGGAGAGGAGGGGTGGCTTGGCCTGCATGAGGGCCTGCGCATGGGGGTGGCGGGCGCGGAGGGTGGAGCAGTGCACACGAGAGCATCCGGCCGCCCTCTGCAGGTGTGTGGACGCCATTCGCAGTGGGCGTGTCGGTCCACCGAGCAGCGTTGCCCCCATTTCACGCAGCGTTTCACCGAACGATCCGCCATAAAGGTGGACCGGCCAAATTTGCAACAAACAAAATGCCCACTTGGACGATGGGTTCGTAGTGCTGCAGCCGGAAGTACACCTCCTCATCAGGCGACCACTCAAACGACGGCAGCTGCGTGGCGGCTTCCAGCCCCCCACCACCGCCGTGCAAAGCGTCGCTGTCGGCCGCTTCGGCGGCCGGCTCAATCGCGGCGCCCCTGACTCTGGCGATGCCGTCGTTTTCGCCATCCGTTGGGCCCATGCCCCAGTAGGCACGGATGGCCGCTGGCTCAGATGCAGGCTTGGAGGCAGGCGCGGCGGGCGCAGCCGCTGGCTGAGCCTGCTCCTCCTGTGCCTCCGCCTGCTTGGGTGCATGCTTGCAGTCCTGCCGCTTGCCCTCCTGCTCCGTGCGATGCTGCAACGGTGGCTCCACCAGGCCTGGGCCCTCCTGGCCCCTCTGCTCTTGCTCCTGCTGCTCCTTGTGCCCTTTGACACGCCCCTGCTGCTTTCCCTGCTCCTGCTCCTCATCTAGCTGATGCTGCTGCAGCTGGACTACCTGCTGCTGCTGCTGCTGCTGCTGCTGCTGCTGCTGCTGCTGCTGCTGCTGCTGCTGCCGCTGCTGCTGCACCTGCACCAGGGCTGGCAGCAGCTGCCGCCCCGTCAGCTCCGCCACCTGCGAGGGGCTGAGCGCCAGCCCCAGGTCCACACCGCCGCGCAGCAGCGCGCAGCGCAGCCCACCTGCCTTGCGCACGGCCACTTCGGCAGCTGCGAGCGGCAGAGGGGCGGACGGGCACTCAGGGGCGCCGCGATGTGTGTGTTGACCGCTGCCGCCGCCACCGACGCATGGAGCCAGCATGCAGGCTGCCTTGCAGGTATTTCCAACACAGCAAAGCAGCAGCGACATGCATGATTTGCCCCTTTGAGCCTGTTGGTGGCTCCAAAAGAACCCAATGGTGCAGGGAAGTGAGCATCGAGTTTGCGGAGCGTGGCCGCACCTGGCTGCGGCACGACCCTGAAGGCTGTCTCATTGACCACCTCCAGGGCGACCTGGGGGCTGTCCACCTGCTGGGCCGGGTAGTACCTGTGGGTGTGGGAACACAGGGCGGGATGCAGGCAGACATGGGAGCGCAACCCCAGTGCTCGCCACGCGACGTCGCTGCAAACGCCAACAGCTGGCTTCATCACTGCAGTTGCCTCTCACACGCTGCCACCCGTGTCTTCGCAACATGCTGCCGCGCGCCCCGCCCAGATCGCCGCTTACTTGTAATCACAGGCTGGGAAGCTGCTGCACCCCCAGAAGCCGTGGCCGCCAGCGCCGCGCCGCACCCAACGCAGCCGCGCGCCACAGAAAGTGAAGATGCCGGGGCACGCCGCGTATGGGCACCTTGGAACAAAGTCCTCTGGCCGCATGCCTGCCTGCTGCGGCTGCTGTTGAGGCTGCTGCTGTTGCTGCTGCTGCTGCTGCTGGGGCTGTTGTAGCTGTGGGGGCTGCTGCTGCCAGTAGCTCGGCGGCTGCTCTTGCGCGCGAGGCGGCTGCTGCACCCCATAGCAATGCTGCTGCTGCTGCTGCTGCTGCTGCTGCTGCTGCGGTACACCGTGCGCGCCGTTCTGCTGCGGAGGCGGGTGAGGCAGCATTGCACGAGGGCCGGGATGATTCTGATGCTTTGGGGGCTCGCCCGGCGGGCCCTGCTGCCGCCACCCAACCTGCTGCGGTTGTTGCTGCTGCTGCTGCTGCTGCTGCTGCTGCTGCTGCTGCTGCTGCTGCTGCTGCTGCTGCTGCTGCTGCTGAATCCACTGCTGATTTTGACCGTGGTGCTGCTGCTGCACCATGTGCTCTTGCCCATTGCCTGGCAAGTACTGTCTGCTCGAGTGCTGGTGCTGCCCCTGCAGGCCCTGCGCGCGCCAGGCTTGCCGTTGCTGATGAAGGTGCTGCTGCTGGACGCCTTGATGGCCGATTGGAGGAGCTTCAGCAGGCCTGGCCGGTGCATATGAGAAGCTTGCAAACAGGCCTTGCTGGGGTAGTGCTCCTGTTTGTGCTGCGGCCCACGACGCGCGCCCTGTGGCGGCGCAGTGCCGCCCCTGCGCCTGACGCTCAAAAGCCTCCCTGTGACATATACAAGGCATTGAATGCATCAGGGCTGCACAAACTTTCGATGCACAGGCGACCGTTCAGCATGAGTAGATCGGGTTCTCACAGGTCGACGCTTGCGATGAATTCATCGTCGTCTTGATCCATGCCCTCCACCCGCCAACACCACGCCTACAGCTGTCGAAGCTGAGATCGCCTCATCGCTCAAAACAGGTGTCAGCAATCATGTTGAACAGTTCTGCACACAACGTAAATGAAGGGGTGAGAAATTGCGTACCATACAGGAAGTGACAACATGTCCGCTGGTGGTGTCACCAGGTCACCCATATTTTACTGCATGGACCTCGTACAGTACGACTGCCCAAGGCACCTCAAACCTCTCGGAAATCGTGTAAGGCACGATCGAGCCAACATACATGAAAGACGGAGCCGCGTATCACACCCGTCTCGGCTCCTGATCAAATAGAGAAGGTTCAGCTCAAGATACGAGGTCTTTCTGCCATGCTGAATACGTAGCCAAAACGGATGGCCATGGAGGGCGCGGCAGCAGATCCTCCTCTGACTGCTCCATCGAGGGGTCCAAAGAAGCGCACGGGGGCCTCGAAATACGACTTCATCAAGGTCAGCAGCCATATTTACGATGCAGCTGGTGCCTCTATGCTGTTGGCAGGGGCCGGCCGAAGGCCGACGCATGCGCCGGCAGGACGGCCTGCTGTGCTCGCCTCCCGACGCCTCGGCCCGCATCGTTGGTCTCGTGCCGCAGGTTAAAGTGTGGCTGGGCGACAAGCTGGACCATTATTATGTACTCTCCAGGTTCCTAATCTGCCGCATGCTGACGGTCACCAAAATTCCCGAGATCAAGGTGCAGCATTGGTTGGACGTGCCCGAGACACGCGCATGCTTCTTACTTGCTGGTTGCCGACGTCACCGCCGACCTGGCAGCAACGCGAACGCCGCGCGATGATGTGCGGCGGGTCAGCTGGACGCTGAACCGTTGAGGCGGCCCGTGCGCTGTGCCGTGCATCCCAGCAGCGGCGGCATGCGCACGCCCATCGGCGCCCAATCCATCCGACCACGCCAGGCCGTGAAGATTTCTCTGGAACTCAAGAAACACTTTGTAGACAGCAACAAACTCGACGTCACGCAGGTGCGCGGGCGAGCCCCCCGCCTGGGCGCAGCCACCGCCCGCCTCCCAGCCCCCTGCCCCATGCCGGTGCGGCTAGACCCCACCTTAGCGCCTCATGCTGGCGGCTCGCGCGAGCAAGCGCACGCCCGTCATGCTGGCGTCTCAAGGCCTCCCCAATCTGAATATGAGGCCAATCAGCGTGACCGGTCCGCATGCAACCGCCCGCGCGCCCCTTTCAAGGCTGAGTTGGAGTCTGTGCTTTTTGGGCTGATGGCGGCGCGCGGCTTCGACGAGCCCTACATCCGCTGCTACCGCATGGTGACGGCCTTCTACCAGCGGCGGCAGCCCCTCGTGATACTCATATGCGGGACGGCCTGGACGGGTGCGTTTCGGCTCGTCACCGTGCCTGTGGGAGTTGGTGCGCATGATTGTGTGCAGCCATGTGTTGCTACACGTGAAATTGAACTGGTTCCTGGTGTGACAAGGTACGGACGTTCCTTCGTGAACGAGACAATTGCAACACACGGACGCACCTCCGTCTGGGGCGTTCTTGCACCGCACCCAGCTCGCCACAAGTATCGCTCTCCGCGGCCCCGTCCCCCTCGCAGGCAAGTCGACGGTGGCGCAGCAGCTGGCGGCGCGCGTCAACATCCCCAACGTGATGCAGACCGACGTGCTCTGCGACCTGCTGCGCGCGGGGGAGGGGTCGCAGCTCTCGAAGCAGCCGCTCTGGGCGCGCACCGACCTGGGCGACGGCGGCGGCGGCGGCGGCGGGAGCAGCGGCTGTGGCGGCAGCGGGAGCAATAGCGCGGGAGGCGGCGGCGGCGGGGCGGGCCCGGGGGACGCGGCGCTGCTGGGGGAGTTCCGGCGGGAGTGCAGGGTGGTGCGGCAGGCGATGCAGGGGGACCTGGTGAAGGTGAGGGGGCGCGGGGGTGGTTGTGGTGCGACAGGTCAGCATGCGCGCTGGCTTCACCGGGCTTCCCCCGCAGCGCGGCCGGCGCCAAGGGGCAGTTCGCGGCGCTGGGTCGTTCGGGAAGCTGGAGGGCGCACGCAGGGGCGGCGAGTGGCGCTGGCCAGTGATCCGCAAAGGGCGGCTGCTTCGCACCTGGCGGCGACGCGCCTTTGCGCCTTGGCACGCTGCGCGCCATCGGCCCCCCGCATAATCACCCCCCAGACGATCTCAGACGGCAAGCCCATCATCATAGAGGGCCTCCACTTGGACCCGGCCCTGTTCATACCCGAATTCGCGCGCACTGGAGTCATCATGCTGCCCGCGCGCGCCGCGCCGCCGGCCAAGGGCGGCAGCCCGCCCGGCGCCCGGCCGGCTGCGGGCTTTGCGACGGCGGCGGCGCCCGGCGGCGGCGCCGAGGCTGCAGGCGGAGAGGGGGATGGGAAGCGACATGTCAGGTGAGGTGTGGGTTTGCGGTGGTGCATCGCATGCCCCTGCACAACTTCCAAGGGGCACTTCTATAATGCCAGAGTGGAACCAGCACTGCGGCCTCGAGCAGTGCGTTGCCTGGTTGCCACCGATGCAACACCTGCCAACATGGAAAGCGCGCTTGCTCACGCTCTCCCAGGCGTGCTACGTCTGCCCCGAGCGTGCGGCGGGCCGACCCGTCGAGCCACGGCCCGCTGCCTTGGGAGCGGCGCGCAGCTGAAGGCACGGAGCTTGCCGGTGCGAGCGGCAGCGCGGGAGACGCGGAGCTGAGCAAACTCAGCGACCGCCTGACAGCTGACCTGAGGCCCCTAGGCCACCGGTCCGCCGCAGCGGGCTCCGCGCCGCCCGGCCCCTCGCCTTGGTGGCCGGCCGGGGGCGCGCGTGGGGTCGGCGGCTCGCGGCCGGCGCCGCTGACCGCGCCCTGGAAGCTGGCCGCGCAGCAGGCGGCGGCGCAGGCGGCGGCAGCGGCGGCACGAGAGGCAGCGCAGGCGGCAGCGGCGGCCGCCGCGTCGCTGCCGCCACAGCAGCAGCAACACCAGGAGGGTGGGGCTGCGCTGTCCCCTTGCAGCACTGCGTCAGGCGTCAGCCGCGAGCACTCCACCACCGAGGCGGTCAGCGCGCTGCCCTCAGAGAGCTCAGTGCTCAGCCCTGAGGCCTCAGCTGCTTCGCTCCATCCAGCAGACAGCGTCGCGGGCGGCCCGAACTCGCCGCTGGGTGCCTGGACGCAGCACAGCCAGCAGCCCGGGCCGCCGCGAGGGCCGGAGGCGGCTTGTGGGACGGCCGCAGGTGACGCGCACGAGGGTGCGGGGCGGTGGCAGCAAGAGCAGCAGCAGCAAGGGCCGCAGGGGGTGCAGCAACAGGCACAGGCGAAGACCCATGTACAGGAAGGGGAGGCCCCTTTGTCAGCCCAAAGCATATTGTCTTTTGCTAACCAACAACAGGCGCCTCACAGGCCCCAGCAGCAGCAGCAGCAATCCAAACATGGGAAGCAGCATGAGGAACAGCAGCAGCACCAGCAGCCACAGCAGCAGTACAGCGAACAACAGCAGCACAGAGAGCAGCAGCAGCAGCAGCAGCAGCAGCAGCAGCAGCAGCAGCAGCAGCAGCAGCAGCAGCAGCAGCAGCAGCAGCAGCAGCATCAGCCGGCCTTGGGGCGGGTGCAAGGGCCTGAGATGCCCCTGCACCTGCGCGAGACGCCGCGCCCGCCATCGCCGCCCCGGCGAACGGCGTACGAGCCCCTCCCGCTCTCTGTCCCTGTGGCGCAGTGCCCCTGGCACATGCGTTCCAGCAATAGTGACTTGAGCAAGAGGCCTCAGGGAGCCGTGGGCACGCCAAGCAGTAGCCACCCACAGGAAGGGGTCCATGAGCAGCAGCACCCCCCGCCTCCACAGCCGCAGCAGCAGCAGCAGCAGCAGCAGCAGCAGACGCAGCAGCAGACACAAACGCAGCAGCGGCATCAGCAACAGTTGCAGCAGCTGCAGACGCAGCAGCACGAGCGAGCGCCCCCATCGGCACCCTTGTCAGCGCACGAGCCGCAGCAGCCCGCCGGCGCCGCTGCCTCTGGAGCTCCCAGCTGCGTGCCGCTGTTTGTGCCGGTGGTTGTGTGCATGGACGAGGCAGACCACGTCTTGGTGGCGGAGGAGGCGCTGCAATGCCAATCGGGCCGCTGCCCCGGCAAAACGACTGAGGCCAACGCCGCTACCGCCGCCATTGGCGGCGGTGGCACTTGTCAGCAGCAGGGTTCCGCGTCGGGGCAGGCCGCGGCGGCCGTGCCTCCCGCGTCGGAGGCGCTGCGGCGGGCGCGAGTCGTGCAGGACTACCTGTGCTCTTTCGAGGCGCAAGGGCTGCCGGTGGTGCGGCTGCAGTATGGTGTGGAGGGGGCGATAGACCGCGTGCATGAATACATATTGCAGTGTATCCAGGTCGCGTCGGCGCTGTAGGATAGAACGATTAGTCGCGCCGCAGATTGCTTTTTGGAGCCTTGTGCTTCTCGTCACAGTAGGGATTAGTACATGTTGCCTGCCCTGATGAACAGCAGGTTGGCGCTTTCGCCTTCCCAATGGCAATTGACCGTGCCGCGACGCCCCGTGCAAGCATCATGTAAGACGTCGGTTGTAACCATGCGCCTGGCTATCTCCATCGGCCTCGCTGCAGGCCTCGCTTTTGCCACTCCGCTTGTAACCAGACGACCTTGACGATGCCACATGACAGCACGTCTCTTGGGCTGCCGACGCGGTTTCAGCCATACGTGTTGCTTTTGAATGCCATGCTGTCATCACAATAAGCTCGTAGCTGATTCAAATCCGCCACAACCCTGGGCCTGAAGTGCCACACATCGGCCGTGCAGCCCGCTCCGTCCTGCAGCAGCGCGCAACGCGGGACCTAGGCGCCGTCGGTCCTTGCAGCGTCCCTTAGCAGCTATGGCGTCCTCGAGACGAGGATTAGGGATGTCTAAAGCGGATCTGGTGCGATAACGGGGCGACAGGCGCACGGAGGTGTCGTTGAACAGCTCAACAGCAGATCGCCAGAGCTGATCGATCGCCTGACGGTCCCCGGTCGCAGGAGGCTTCTCGTTTGGTTTTCGTGTACCTGGCACAGTCCAAGCCCAAGAGGTGAGCCCCGCTAATTTGGACATAGGACACCATCGCACCAGGATCCCCAGCTCATTGATCCGTTTTATGCTGTGCAGGAAGGTGGCAATCCCTGTGCCCGACTCTTACACGTGGGAGCAGTTCCTTGACCAGGTGCGGCCAAGGGTGCAGAGCCCGTCGCTGCTTTGCGCGGTCGGCAGTCGCAGCTCGAGCTGCACCGCTGACTCCTGTCTGAGCGCTGTATGCTGCGTCCCCGCGGCGCGCAGGTCAAGGCGCGGCTGAGGTTGACGGGCGTGCGGGACATCTACCTGGCCTCGGTGCGTGGGGCGGCGGCCGCGTCTGTAGGGCCAACCTGGTCTGCCGGCCAAAGCAAGGGGCAGTGCGTGGCGCAGGGCGCTCATTCCGCTCAATCCCACACCGCATGCAACCGCTCAAACCCACACCGCACGCTCCCGCGCCCGCCATGTCATGCGGCTGGGGCAGACCGGCGCCAAGGTCAGGAGCGTAGGGGAGCTGCAGGATATCGATGAGCTGTGTGTTGTCGAGGTGAGGGCCTCGGTGAAACAGTGCAGCCCTCTACTTCTTGCACATCGCCCTGTAGTTTATCTTGCCCTTCAAGACGCCTGTTGCCGCCAGATGTGCAGCAGCCGCAGCGCATGGTCGCAATGGCGCCGCGTCGTATCGCAGTCCGCGGCGCCGCATCGCATGTGGTGCATGCCAGCGGTGCGCGCGCTAGCCAGAAACTGCCCGGGATGCGCCACGATCGAATCGGCCCCACAGTGCGATACCCGAGGCACGCCTGGCACCTTGTATGCGTGCTGTTGGCGGCCACGCAGGCCCCCACGGATGAGATTTATGGCGGTGGTGCCGGCAGCAACGGCAACACTGTCCAGATCAGCGTGCCCAACGGCGACGGGGCCGGCGGCGCGGAGATCGAGCCGCAGGGCAGCCAGGGACTGGGGCCTTCCACATCGTTGAGACAGCAGGTGCGGGTCCAGATTGTCAACTGCCGTCGCGGGGCGCCCCGCGAATGCAGAGGGACTCTAGGACCTGCAGCCGGCCGCGTGACCTGCAGCCTGTCCGCGCCTCGGCCCCACAAACCCTGGCGCCACCCGCGCCAACCCCGTCGCCGCGCCCGCAGGCCCGCACAGCGAGCCTGCCGCTAGAGCGCCACCGCAGCGGCGTGCCAAACGGCGGGGGGGCGCACGGCTACGACCGAGAGGATGACAAGAAGTATGCGCGGCGCGCGCACCCCCTCAAGCGCACGCTGCAGCGCATCCTGCCCGGGCTCTTCTCCACAGGCAGCCTGCCGGTGACGCTCGCGTGAGTCGGATGCCCCCGGGCTGACGGGGCGTTTGAGCGGCTGGGGCGACCGGGGGGCTGGGGCGACGGCGGCGTGATTCGAAGCGCCGCATCCAAAGCTGCCAGGCTCGCTGGTCACACCACGCCGCACATGCTGATAGTCTGCCCAGGAGCTTCTCACGCGACATTTCCTTGTCAATAAATCAATAAATGCGCCGGGGTTTTCGGGCCTTCCATTCTCCAGGGAAGCGGGCTCGATTGACGGCAGCAGCGGCGGCAAGGCCGGCAAGCGGCGGCGGGGCACACGGCGGTCAAAGTTGTCTGCGCAGAACGTGCTGGCGGCCATGGCAGTCCTGTCATGCTTCGGCACCATGGTCTTCTTTTTCACGCGGTGAGATGGGGTCCGCAAGAGGTTCGCTGGGTGGCTGCCGGGCGCAACTTGTTTGGACGCCGGGCGGGGCCGGCGGCGGCTAGGGGAGGGCGTCTGGGGCTCCTGTATGACACGCTGCGGTGCCCCCTTCGGGTGCGGGCGACACCGGCGTGTGCTGACACGCTGCCACGCTGCGCCTCACGCGGGCGGCCGACCTGGCGCGTCGCAGGGTGAACAAGAGCGCAGCTGGGGGCCTTGAGGCGCCCATCTCGGGGCCGGGTGGTCTAGGCACCGGCGACCTCCCTGGAACGACGCAGCAGGTCCTGCCCAAAACGACGGGCGCGGCGCCGGGCATTGCAGGCGGAGTGGCGGCGGCAGGACAAGCAGCAGCAGCAGCAGCAGCAGCAGCAGGCGGGGCGCCAGCAGGCGCGCCGGCAGCTACGAAGGTCGTCGGCGGGGCGCCTGCAGGCGGGGCCGCGAGCGGTGGGGTGGTAGGTGCGGGCACAGCTGGTACAGCTGGCGCAGCTGGTACAGCCGGCACAGCAGGGGCGGCACCCACTGTCGGGGCAGGTTTGGCTGCAGAACGACCGACAGCAGCAGGCTGACCCTGCTGGGAGGGCGCCCGTTCTGTAACCGTGATCCTCTGCGGAGTTTCAAAACGGCAAGGGAGGGCCAGAACCAGCCCCCGTAGCAGGGCGCCCGGCGGTCCCGGGGGGGGGGGGGCCGGGAGCGGTGGATAGGTTGCGTTGGGGGCATGTGCCAAGCGCAACTTGTGGCGCTGTTCTGCAGCGGCGGGCATGATGTGCCTGTCCGTCAGCGGCAACGGTGGGCATAAACGTGGTGCCCAGCGGCCCCGCATGCCATGGCTGCAGCCGAGAAGGACGGAGCACAAACGAGCAAAGTGCGCTCTGCCCTGGGGGTCAAAGCCTGATGCATTTGGTGCGCAGAGGCGGATGGAGACCGCGCGCATACTCATGTTTACAAACTCACACACCCATGCACAGTCACACACGCACTCAAACACTCTGTCTCTCTGACAACACACGCGAACACACACGCGCGCGCACGCGCACAGGCGCACATGCATCCCCACACCAAGCGCACACCTGCATGCGCATAGCGTCTACACAAACACCCACGCACGTGCGTACACACAGCGTTCGATGCGGGGTGCAAAGTACATTCAATGGAACTTTGGCGCGTCGATTGGCGGCGCTGTAGCTCCCATTGAGCATGCGTCGCACCGCCGAGCGCCGTCACCCCACACCCCCCAGTCAACCCCGCCCTGGCACTCAAAACCACCTGATGCACGCAAAAAGCCATTCGCTACCGTAACTGAGATACTGAACTTTCGGACCATGGGGCTCAGCATGAGGCTCGCGAGTTGCTGCTCGCCCTGCGCGACGGACATTTCAAGGCTTCCAAGCCCGTCTGGGCGGGCCAGTGCAGTCTTCTTACACCAACAAGTCCGAGTGCAGCACTCAGCACGGCGGCTCGTGCGGATTCGTGCGCTCGGACCGGACGCGCCACCACCGCCGCCGCCGCCGCCTCCGCCACCGCCACCGGGGTATGAGCAGCAGCGGCCAGTGAACCCCAAGTTTGAGGTGCGTGGCTGGTAGCATGCTGTGTCGTCCTGCCTCTTTGCCTCGGGGTCTCAACCTACCGGTGGTTGTGCGGGAGCCCTCAGTTCAGCACAAGCAGTGCAACACAACGCATTATGCCGTCCTCGGAACCAGCCGCTGTTCGACCATGCATCAGGGTAGGCTCCCGAAACCAAATGACTCGATCCCCTCACCCCACCCGGCAGGAAATGGGGTTTGCTGAGATCAAGGAGCGGTACCTGCGGCCGTACTATCTTCAAGGCAGCTTCTTGCTGGGCTTCCTGACGCTTGGCCTGCGGACCGGCGCCATGAATTTCGTGTTTGCTGAAGACGTGAGTGCGAGGAGGGGTTGGGTGGGCCTCACGCTTTTGGTGCGGATCGGGGCTGAATAAGGGCCTCATGGGTGTTACAGGCGCTGGTCATGTTGTGTCATGTTTATATGTCACCTGACGTCAAAGCGGTGCCATGTGACCCGCTGCCACAGCCGGTGAGCTACCTGGGAACGGCAGTGGTGACGGGCGTGCTCACCATGTCGGTGGCCTGGATCCTATTCGACTTCACAGACACTCCAGGCGGCGGTGAGCGCACGGCGCTGTGGGGTGGGCAGCGTTCAGTGAGGTGGCTTGCGGGTCTGGGTTGAAGTGCTGAGCGCTGCTGCCAACAGGTCCAATAGCAGCGCAAGCCGCCAACGGCCTACTGCTTTGTTGGATGCTGCTCAAGGTGCAGCCGTCACCTGACACCCTGCGCCCCCACCCCGTTACACACCCTCCCACAACTCGCAGGGAACAATTTCAACTCGCCGAAGTAGCGTCTTGCCGGATCGTGTATGGTTGTTGTCCGCGCAAAGCCTCAATGCATGTGACAGAGCCGTGGGCCTTGCCACGCTGGACACTCACAGGCTGAACAGCCAGGGGGCGGCGGGCGGCGCCGCGCATGTCGGCGCAAAATATGCAGGCAGCGGGCCATGTAACATTACACAGGTAGTTCTGTAAAAACAAAAACACTTCGAACCGTGTAATATACCACCTGGTTTCTTGCAGAGAGTTGGCGCGGGAGTGCAGCAGCTGCGTTCGAGTGCACTCTCAAAGCGGACACGAGCACGAGCCATTCTCCCTCTTTCAGCGCAGCGCAGCGGTTGTCGGCAAGACATTTGCTTTGCGCAGCAAGCTCTCGATCGTCTTTTGGCTCCATCAGAGGGCGGCGATCAAGATGGCGTCGCGCTTCTGGGCTGCTCCCAGCAGCGAGGAGGAGGAGGATGATAACAAGACCACTAGCTCTGAGGAAGATGAGGGCGAGAGCAGCAGCAGCAGCTCTAGTGGGTCCAGCTCTTCGTCGTCGTCTTCGGGCTCTGAGTCGGACAGCGAGTCGGGAAGCGATTCTGACAGTGACTCGGACGATTCCGATGGCTCTGGCAAGAAGGGCGCGGCGAGGTGAGGATCGGACGCAAGATCACTCGCCGTCTGTGCCCACTGCCGGCGTCATCATGTCTAGACAGCATCTAGATTCATACTTCATGTGATGCAGTGGGTATACGCACAAAGCAAACCGCATCGCCCGCCCGTCCTGCACAGCATGCGCGGCTGCCGCTGTCGCGCTTGCGCTCGCGCCGCCTTTGTGCCCGCCGTTTCGATCCTGGGTCTCCCGAGCTGGTGCGTGCTCGCGTGGCCCTCAGCAAAGCCACAAGAACTCCACGCTGCAATGTTGCCTCGGCCTAACGTGCTTGCAGGTTCCTCGCCGGGTCCTCCGACTCTGAGTCTGAGGATGACCGCAAAGTGCAGCTGCGCAGCAACCGCGACAAGGTGTTCGCGGCGCTGTACCAGACCTGCGAGGACATCAGGGTGCGTGGCCAGTCCGTGGCGGGGCGGACGACGCATGTTAGCGCCATGGCGCTGCTTGCGCTTGGCACGGGAAGTGCAGCAACTGCAGTGCACGGCTGCACCCGGAGCGCACCAATTGCTGCATGGTTGTTTGCATTCCTGTTGAGGCAGCAGAGGCGACCCAGCAACACGTCGCAACTCATCACCAAGCGTAATGTGCGCGCCGTCACTGGCTGGACACGTCATTTGCTGACGCGCGCCGCTGCGCGTGCACATGCTGCCGCTACGCCGCCTGATTTTGCACTCCCCAGAACAAGTTCAAGAACAACGACTGGTCCGCCATCGTGACCCTGTTTGACGATCTGAACAAGAACCTGGAGAAGGTGATGCGGCTGACTCTGTACAGGCTTTGTTTGACAGGGGTTCTTGAGGAAAGGATTGCGTCGAAGCGAGCGCTCGGGCAAACAGCAGGCTTGGGCGTGGCAGCTGCACGGTCCCGCCGCCGCCTGGCCCGACCCGCACCTCCTCCCGCCGTTGCGGCCGCCCGGTGTCTCACGGCCCTCAGGTCCAGAAGGTGACCCCCGGGGTGCCCAAGGGCTACGTCCGCATCCTGGGTGAGCTGGAGGGCTACCTCACCACCAGCCTGGCTAACAAGGAGCAGAAGAAGAAGATGAGCGCCACCAACAGCAAGGCGCTCAACACCATGCGCCAGCGCCTCAAGAAGCACAACGTCGCGGTGGGTGGGGGGCCTGCCGGATGCAAACGCTTGCTGATGAGGCACGGCGGGATGGGTCCGCTGCCGCCACAGTGCCTTGGAGCAGCCGCGTCCAGGCACGATCAATCGTGCGTCCCCTCGTCGAAGCATCACGCCGAATTTCGAATTTCGTGCTCGTCTTTCTCTGTGTTGCCTGCATTTCAACATGCGAAGCGCCTGTACCGCAATCCCGCGCATTGACGCACCTGCCGCTACAGTTTGCGGACCAGCTGGCCAAGTACCGCGAGGACCCGGCTGCGTTTGGCTCTGATGCGGAGGAGGAGGAGGAGAGCAGCAGCAGCTCGGAGAGCGAGGAGGGCAGCGGCGCGGAGGACGAGGGCGAGGAGCGTGTCGACAAGAGGATCGGTGCGCGGCCTGCACGCGGGCACAAGGCGTTTGCCTGGGCGGCAGTACGGGGGGCGGCAGCAGCGGCGGGCAGCGACGGCCACGGCTCAGCGCTGGGGGGCTCATGCAGCGCGTCGTAGTGCAGGACAGCAGTGACGCACCGGCTGGATGTGGGCGGAAGGCCTTTGTGCAGACCTCCCCAACGCGCACCGCATCCACTGCATCAACACGCCCTGCCCAACTCGGCTGGGCCGCCTGCGCTCCTCGCTGTCATCCAATTGCAGCCCCCGCCAAGAAGAAGGACAAGATCCTGACCATGGACCCCTCCGAGATCACCTATGAGATGGTCAACCGCAAGATGCGCGAGATCATCGCCACGCGCGGCCGCAGGGGCACGGACAAGCAGGAGCAGGTGCGGCGCTCGGGGACCCGGAGGAGGGAGGGGATGGAGGGTAGGCGGCGACACTGAGGATGGCGCGTGTGCTGCAGCTTGGAGCGCAAGGGAGAGCGGGTCATTGCAATGCAGGCTGCGCTTCGGCAACTGCGGCCGGGCCTGTAGTCGGGGTGGCGCTGTGCGCTTATGGCCCAGGGTGTTCATGCGTGCAGCTCCTGCCTCCTCACCTACTCGCGCATCCCGGCGAATGCTTGCACTAGAGCAATGCGCACACCTCCCCCTTTGCAAAACACACATACACACACACGCACACGCAGACGCACATGCACACATGCACGTACACACCACACCCATAACGCGCGCACGCACCCCCCAGGTTGAGATGCTGCAGTACCTCGTGACAGTGGCCAAGGGCGCCGCCCAGAAGCTGGAGGTGCTGGGCCAGCTGGTGTCCAGCCTGTTTGACCTCACGCCCGGCAGCCACACGCACATGAAGGTGCCGCTCTGGAAGAAGTG